AATGCCCTCGAAAAATCGAAAGAGAACGCCTTAATGACGCGAGAGACACGGAACTTTAAAACAATTTAATTTGTGTAATTAGGGGGGGGGGAATTCGGCAAAATGACGTTTATGTCATACCAGCAAAATACCTGGCATTGCCCGGGCTTTCTTTACATCCAATTCTTGTGAAAGAGAAAAAAGATCAATTTTATATAAATCACAGTTTAAGATTATTATTTTTAACGTAATTGGTTCAAATTTTAATAAAATTCTAATTTTCATTCATTTTATTTTACCGATTAATTACTATATATTAATTTTTTATCTCAAGCACTGCTACCGATCTCTAGCAATTATATTAGGTAGTAGTTCTGGTGCACCTCTGGGCATATTAGGAACCAATGTACTCTTAGCGTCAGGCGAAAAGAGGTGCATCTACAAACACATTATTTTATCTATTTATTTTCCGCATTTGTGTTGTATTAATATTTATCAAACTTTCCAAGGACACTGCGACAGTCTGCACAATTTTGTATGTATTCATACACTACTTTTTGTGGTATCGATGTCGGTTACAAGACGTTGAATTCACTTTTATTAGTTACAGTGCAATTAGCACAATCCTTTCTAACAAATTTCTTTCAATAAATTTGGAGCATTTTTTTTAGAAAATCTTGTTTTTATTTTTTTAATATTGGTCATATTTCACTTACTATTACGTGTAATGATGCGCCGTTTTTTCGCCGCAGTATTACACAAGTTTCTCTGCACTACATATGTAGTATGCGAGAAAATAACGTACACCTGGCAGCTAATATTCAAATCGCCTTTTACGTAATAAATATTTCTGGAAGTAAATATTTACAAGGCGCTAGCGACTTAAGGTGCAGAAAGTAAGAACACAAACATACTGTACTGTTCTGTTGCGCTCAAGATCGTGAAAATAAGACAAAATGAAGTTGAGGAATTTCAGAAATGGATCATCCCAAGGTCCTTCGTCGCCCTCGTGTCTTTCCCTTCCTCCTTCCCTTAAGATTCTACCTTTCCTTCTCCCTGTTAAATCTCTCTCTTTTGTCCTCCTCCTTCCCCTTAGATTCAACCCCTCCTTCTCTCCTCTTTTTACCTCTCCTTCTCTGATTTTACCCTTCCTCGTCTCCTCTTTGATTTTACTTCTCTGATTTTACCATCCCCTCCACCCTCGATCCTATCAGTTTCTCCTCCCCCTCCTATTCACCCTTCTTCCCTTCCCTCGCTTGCCGGTCAACTCCTCGCCTGCCTGTCGTCGCCGCCCCGTTTGCGCCGCTTCCACATCCCTTCACTTCCGATGATCCGATCGCGGCCAGCGCGGCCGCGCGTTGGCCACTCGCGCCGCGCGCTTTTCCTGACGCTTTCTCCACCCGTCTCCCGCTTCCCGCGCCCTCCCCCCATCACTCCTCCCTCGCTCCCTGCCGGCTCTACTTGGCTCTGCGTCGGAGCAGAAAAGGAAGAGGGCAACGCTCGCCTTGGGAAACTTGTCGCCGCTCCGCGAAACTCCACTTTCCTGCGGAAAGGGCCCTGCTCGCCGCGCCTCGCAGGGATTGAAGCGCCCTTCGGAACCAATTGCGAGTGATGTGTCAAGTATTGCTGAACGTGCGTCTTGAACGCCTCTGTAACACTACCAAGACGCCAAAGGTTTTTCAACTGACAATACTGTTCGTTGATGTAGGAGAATATGAAGGGTTATTGGAATCAAAATTTTTTGCACAACCGATTTCGCCAGAAATAGTTGGTCGTCAAATTTATGAAGCTTCTGAACAAGCATACAATCTTTAAATCTTACTGTAGCTACCAACGAAACCCGGATGGAAATAAGAACTTCCATCAAATTATTCATATTAATAAATGTCTGATGTGCACACGCAAAACATAACAGACATAACCTCAAACTCACACACTTAACTATGAAACTGACAGGATTACGCGAGTATGTGCAAGCAAATGTTTCCGTGGGTCATCTGCCTGTGCTTAGAAGAAAAACTACAGGTAAGACAACCTGACCGTGGCTGCGTTACACCAAAAAATTATCTATGAGCACGTTCCACGTATCTTGCTATGGTGGTGCAAAATAATGTGCATATCACTGGTATGGAAAAATTCTAATTTCCTTTCTGCTTGGCGAAAAATTAAATTAAGAATGTATGTAACGAATTATTCAGTTTAATTACATATTTCAAGTTAATGTAACAGTACATTTAGTTTTAAGAGGTGTAAATGTAGGCCTAAATGTTTACATTATGTTGCCGAATGCGTCCAAGGTGACGAAGCGACATTCAGCCTAATTTTATGAAAAGTAAATGATCAACTAATATTAGTCTTGAGAAAATCCATTGACAAATTGGTTCAGAGGTGGATCAAAAAGCCTCAGGTATACTCCCTCAGCCAAACGTGTCCCAAAAAACAAACACGTAGGCAAATTAGTAATCCCTTTCAATTTTTAGTGCCATGAATTACCTATCACTAGATGAAAATAAAATGCAAGGTTTAGCACAATAGAAAATACGTAGAATATACTATAGTACCGATCTTTCATATATCACTCAAAAGTCAAACATTTCTTGAATTATTTTCTAAGATACACGTTAGCAACTGTAAAAAATGTTGTTTTGAAACATACATAAGAGCTTTTCTGGAAAATGTTATGCAAGACTGAGCGTGTCCCTCATTTTAGGGGTAAAAAAGGTGAAAGTCTTAGAGGTTTTAAATCTCATGTTGTGATTTACATGTGTACAAACGTGAAGAGTATAAATCTCTTGATATTGATTTGTATTAAAATGAAATGGGGGGGGGGGGGAGGAATGAAACCCTTCAGTTAAGTTTAAACTAATTTGATGGCGGAGGCGGAAAGACAAGTGAGGTAGAGGAGGGATATCTAGATTTAGTGATAGGTATACCGGCTCCAGTTAGGTTTGCGACTTTATTCACGACAACCCAGGGTCTTAAGGCGGATGTGGATCGATGCACTTGACCACTTTAATTAAACATAACTCAGTGTAGATATATCTGACGTAAGGGGGGGGGGTTGACAGGTTTGGTCTTTATGAACGTTCCTACGGTTACCTTACATGACTTATCTATAGAGGTTATCTGTATAGATTTAAAAATAAACGAAATGGTTGTATGGTAATATTATACAATTATAATAACTCCCAAAATATGTAAAAGCATGCACTTTAAAATTTGGAGTTTTATAATGCATGAACCTTGTTTGGTGGACATATTACAATATGCATATATTTAAATGCAATAGAAAAAGTAATTGTACAACTATTCTAGTCCTACTAATCATTCATTTCGGGAATTGCCTAAAATACTTAGGTTCTGGGATCACAATAAAAATAATAATTAATATTAGATCCATTATTGAGTCGGGTTCCTTATTAAGTAATGCCTACTAAAACCTTTTGATATCTTACTGAAATTAGTGTGTGTGTAATTGCTCGCAAGTTTACTATTTTTTTAATAATACCTGTACGTTACTATAGCTACAAATATTTTCAGAATATTTCTAAACTGCTGGAATATTTCACAATCGGAATAAACGAAATGTTACGTTTTTTGGTCGTTAGGTCATCAATGTTTTTGTCAAATATTCACATAAACAAATCCTGATTGCGGTATTGACTGAGGTAGTTTGCTTTTGCGCGAGCTGGCTGCACATTCGTTCCCCTTATTACAATGCTACTGCCATTGGCGGATCCAGGGGCGTAGAGCAAGCGCCCCCCCCCCCCACACACACCAAGGCTAGTTTTTCGTTTACTTCATTTGGCAAAATGGTTTTAACAATTTGTTATAATTACAGTAATTATTTAAATAATTATATTTGAATAGTGTATCTACAATACGTAAATAATATACATTATAACAACAAATATTGTATTATTTAACAAATCTACGAGCCGCCCCCCTCCCGACAAAAAAATGATTGGCTGGATACGCCCGTGGCTAATGCTCTTTGTATCAGTAGTGATCAAAGATCCGTGCTACAGTTTGAAGATTTTTACGTAAAATCGACGCAGTACTGAAATGGTATCCCAAACCACCTAATTACATATTTCTGTAGTAGAGATAATATTTTCGAATCTCGCACCCATTCGTAACAAATGGTGGTATCAAAATAATGAGAATTCCATGGAATTGTTCTTTCACTTTATAAATAATACTTGTAGAAAATTACTATGAATCGAGCATGGCCAAATGCCGTCCTGCAGCTCACGGCGTGTTTCTTCACAGTACTCGTAGATAGTGAATTATTCCTCCAATAGCGTTTACTTTCTTTGAGCAATGTCAATTAGTTGAAAACTTTCCGCTCTTTCCTTCCCGCCGACCAGTTTGGCAGCCGTGTTTGCAAACCGAACACTTACATTGTCCTTAATGTGTTGTCCGCGCACCATTCCTAATCGTCATCGGCAACTCGAGACGTCCTGTGCCGATGCGATTTCCGCCAGTAAACTTCGGTCCGACCACTGCGCGCTTTCGGGCTTCGTTGGCTGGTTTGAAGTTCTACCTCAGTGCGTCAATTTTGTGTGACATAACTGAAGTGGCGCAATCAGGATTCTTCTAGGAAGGGGGTGGAGGCTAAGCTATAGGTGTAAGTGTCCAGCCGACTTTTTCTTGTGAGAGAATTTCATTTATACTGATTTCTTTTTAAAATGTTAATTTATATTTATTTATATTGTGTTCAATTATTATGTTGAATGACGTAATGTAACGTTAATGTCGAAAATTAGTTTAACTATATTTGTGAATACGGGTCTTCGGCTTCTTGGAGAAGCGGGGGGGGGGGACAGTGGCTGAGGCCCTATGCCCCTCTTGGACAGTCCTCTTAAGCGCTCCTTTGGGTACTTTGTAACGGCAACCGCCTCCACGTTATACCACATGCCGCCTCTATTGTTTTGTTCGCATCGCAGTTTGTGACACGTTCGTGTGCGTGTGTTGCAGACTACGTGAGTGGCGGGGAGCTGTTCACGCATCTGTTCCAGCGCGAGCGCTTTGCCGAGGAGGAGGTGCGCGTGTACGTCGGAGAGATTGTCCTGGCCCTGGAGCACCTGCACCGCCTCGGCATCATCTACCGCGACATCAAGCTGGAGAACATCCTGCTGGACTGCCACGGCCACGTCGTGCTTACCGACTTTGGCCTCAGCAAGGAGTTCCTGCCCCATGAGAAGGTGCGCCTTGCAGCCCAATGCTATTGCCAGGTGCAATATTGTCGAACTAACTTCGAAGTTTAATAATAATATAATATATTATAATAAATCAATTATAGTAACAATTACGTTCGAACAATATTAGATTGTTCATTGTAAAACTCTTAAAATAGTGTGTCAAAGAGACGGAGACTGATTTTTGCCAGGCTTTGAACTTCTACACGAAGTCCTACTGCAGTACCTGAAATCGGATTGGAAGAAAGAAGTTTTGGAGTTAATTCATGAAGCTGTATAATCCTGTTATGTCCTCTGATGTTTTCATAAATTGTTGAATTGTTTTCGTGTACAGAATGCACCCTTTTAGTATAGTGTGCTTGTGCAACTTATTTGAAGATTATGTGCTTGCCTTGCCTTGCCTTAACTTGTTGTAGGATTGTAAGCTTGAGTTAAATAGGTAAGGTGTGGCGTTGTTAGGTGTTATTTACAAACTTGAAGACTTCGTAATGAATATACAAGGCGGTGGAAGTATGTTAGGTTTTTTGAACTGGGGGTTTATAGAATTATTTTATATTTGTTAATGTTCGGGTAACTTTTTTAAACTTTTGCTTTGCCTTTGGAAGCCCCGGTTATTATTCAGAATTTGAGACTATATAAGTAGTTATATTAGAATACAAGTTAACTCTAAACGTCTTCGAACGAACGCGCTGATGGATTTCGAGTCAAGTTGTGAAGTAATTGCGCTGATCCTGTGTTTCAACAATACATAAAGAAAGTTTCTCGTTGCATATTTTAATAAGTTTTCGTTTTCATTTAGTAACTCGTATTTTTTTCTATTTCTCTAAAATATAATTTAGCATCAAAACGGCGCTAACCGTTTGTGACGTTTCGACGAGGAGAAATCACGATGTTAATTGATTTTGTTTAGTTCACTACAATCTTTTTTTCCCAATATTCTTACTTTCCGTAAAGTAGTATGTAGTATATAGAGAAAACTAATTCTCTTCCAAAATGGAATTTTTCTTTTCAGTGGCATAACTAGAGCAAGACGTATGCATTACGGAAAACAGCGGGGGATCTACTAAATATACTATAGAATCGTCAATTCAGTAGCCAATATTTTTCTCTTTGTGCAATAATTTCGAGCATTAAAAAAATCACATATGTTGAACCTACTATTACGTTAATTCACATATGGTGAATACCCAGTAAATTAGGGAATTTATAGCACGACATATGGGGAAGTCTCTGTCCAGGTATTCTTGCAACTCTGTAAATGATTCAATCTAAAAATGTTGTATTTATTAATAGTAATAATAATTTATAATTGAATTCTTATCGTAGTATATTTTTATTTATTCTCTAGGAAAATGACATGTGTAAATATACAAAATTTCCGTGGAAAAGGACCCTGAAATAGTCCCCCCCTCCTTGTTTAAAAATTGAGCACTCCTATAATTAATACCATTAAAATATGTGGAGTTAAAAAATACATTTTGGACTCGGTCATTATGTATGAATGGACTATGTTCTATGTGATTTTTAAGCTTAAGCACGAATTATTCTGCAATATTTTGTAACGGAAATCTGAAAATCTCGATCCGTTTCTGTCATTTGGTGAAATTCTTTGGCAGAGTGAGGGGGAGGGGTGTAGTTCTAGCGATACGTCATCTAGAAGCGAACGATGGTTCTTGTAGGGCAAATAACGATTATAAAATTAGTCCATAAGCGTAATTTCAGGGTAAGGTTCATATTGCCGTAAAACCTGATTTACGCGACAATCGGTTGTACTTCTTCCGTGGGAAGGCGTACATCCGATTTTGCACTTGTAAAACCAGTCAGCCGAATCTATTGCAATAGGCAGTCGTGTGTCAATCGTCCTTACATTGAGACGTGGGGCTGTGGGTTTGAATCCCATATAAAGCTGGAACATTCTTTACATTCTGATTGTGACAGTGTGGACAACGAAAACTATCTTCCATTCAATCATCAATCATTAATCATGTCATATTTGTCCAGGAAAGCTTGTTCTCATATGGTTAAAACAATTTTATTTTATTTCACTTAATTTAAAAATAAATTGACTATTTTTTCTCTTTTAATTAGGAGCAGAGGGCATACTCTTTCTGTGGGACCATTGAGTACATGGCCCCAGAAGTCGTCAAAGCTGGTAACACTGGACATGATATTGTAAGTGTGTTATAGTATTGTCCATTTATAAGTTTAATCTCTTCTCATTGTTAATGTACATTTCTGTAATAATCTATTCTTTTGCAGGCTGTTGACTGGTGGAGTGTTGGTGTATTGACATATGAATTGCTGACTGGAGCATCACCGTTTACAGTAGAGGGGGAAAGAAATTCACAGCAGGATATTTCCAGGTGACTATTTCATGAAGAGGGTAGGGTGCATTGTGCAAGAGAGTTACAAAAAGGCATGCACACACCAGTGATTGGAGCCATGACTTCCTATTCAGTCTAGTAGTTGCCACAACTTTTCAGCCTTTTCACTCATTGAAAAGAGGAAAGAGGCTTCTTAATCACCTGAGGTGAGAGGCTGTGTATTACTTTTTTTGTGACAATCGTCAAGTAGCAATCTGCCTCTTGAAGACAAAATGCAAACAAAAAATACTTTCCATGAACATTTCTGTGGAATTTTTATAATTCCCGAACCAGACTTGTTTCTGTGTTTATAATTCAATATTCTGGAAATTTACAATAGTTAATAAATATATATCAATTGTCGACATGGATTAAATTCTAAAAATTGGAAAAATGACAAAGAAAACAGTACCACAAAATTCAACAATATCAATATTTTAGTGAATTGAAACAGCAAAGCAATTTGATACATAGAGAAGTTGAAGCTCATGTAACAACTTGCGTAGTGACAACATAATATTCATTTATTTCAACTTTGTTGTCTCATTTTGTTAATAATGTAGGTGACACGTATGAATACTTATACAAATGAATTCAAGCTTTTGCTATAAAAGTAAGAAATGGGGTAGACACATGGTTTAAAAACAGTTTTATTTAAGAGTATATACATTTCTAAATAAGTTTGCTTGAAAGTTTCATGCAATAATCGTTACAAGAGTTGGAGTGTTGGAGTGAAAGAAACTACATCTTTGTTATTAACTTGCTACTCAAAGTCAACTTATATGGTATTAGAGAAAGGAGAATATTTCAAGGGATTAAATACGAGTTGCTCTGTTCCTTTAAAGTGTATTGTTACAGTAGTCCCACATTCATTAAATTAAATGCATTTATTTATCCCAATTTAATTTAATTAATGTGGGGCTACTGTAACAATACACTTGAAAGCAGCAACTGAAATGATCAACTCGTCATTTCAGTCCTAGAAATATTCTTTCTCTTATCCTATGATTTAAAACAACTCATCACAACTTTTCTTGCTAATAACAGGAGAATACTGAGGACAAATCCCCCAATTCCTGAAGATTTATCTCCAGATGTGGCAGATTTCATCACTAGGCTCCTGGTAAAGGATCCTCGCAAACGCCTTGGTGGAGGAGAAGGTGATGCAGAAGAACTGAAACGACATCCATTTTTTAAAGTGAGTTCATTTTCTTAAGTTCATATAAATGAAAATAATAAAAGAAGACAGCTAGGATTATTCTTTCCTTCAATATTTGTTTAGGGTATTAACTGGGAAGAGCTAGCTCGGAAAGCAGTGCCAGCTCCCTTTGTTCCTAAGATTGACAATGAATTGGATACAAGCAATTTTTCTGAAGAATTTACCAAAATGACACCCACAGATTCTCCTGCAATTGTGCCTCCTAATTTTGATAAAATATTTAAGGTATATTCAATAAATCATTGTTTAATTGATGTATATGGTTAATATTTATTACTGTTAAATAAGCCAATAAAAATGGTGTATTAATTCAAAAATTCTGTTTATTCTCTTCAGGGTTATTCTTATGTTGCGCCATCAGTACTGTTTAGTGAAAATGTCATTAGTGATGATATATTTCAACCTTCTCAACAACCAAACAGTGCTAGCATCATTGGATGCAAATTTAAAGTAAGTTAAACGTACTATAGTTTTCATTTCAGATGCAAACAAAGGGGTTATTGAGGAAAATAAGTAAAGATGGAAACTTATATCCAGATTTCTTGTTTTATTTCCTTTCTCTTTTCTCTTTTCTTATACATTTTTTTTCTACTAGGAAGAGTAATTTACTTTTGGAAATTAAAAAAAAAAAAAATGCTTCAGACCTTCATTTGAACTATTCTCAGAAAAGAGTAAAATTATACTACAGTAAGCTATCTCATTTTAAAATTTCTCGGGACTAGCATTTGTTCCATATTAGACAAGATTCTGGATTATGCAATGTAATACTGTAGAATTTGTTTGTATGGACCTTGGTTTATGTTCACATTACACAGATTTTCACATTTTACTTGTTCCACACTGGGCATGTTTTACTGTAGTTCCGTTACATAATTTGATTATGGTATATATTAATGCTTTGGAACAATTTAGAATTAAGTGTACTTTTTTTGCTGTTTTCAGGAATCACCATTTTTCCAAAATTATGATATAAACTTAAAAGAAGGAATTCTTGGGGATGGTTCTTTCTCAGTGTGCCGTAAGTGCTGCCATAGGCAAACTGGTCAAGAGTATGCGGTAAAAATTGTCAGTCGGAAAATTGACTGCACCAGGGAAATAAATTTGTTACGTGCCTGCCAAAGTCATGCAAATATAGTGAAACTACATGAAGTTTATTATGATGAAGTGAGTTGCCTACATTTTTGGTATTTGTAAATCTGTTCTTACATTGTAATAGCTCCTTGCTATCTCACAAGGAGAAAACATGCACTACACTTACGGCACTAATGACCTTCGCCATTGACTTGCCTAGAATCACTAATCAATTAGTCATCATTTAAATCTTTGTTAAAATAAAAGTGTATTAATAATGGGGATACTCCTTTGAAATGTGATGTGATCAATAATTGTCATTGTTTTGAATAAATTGAATGAAAAAAACAAACACAAAAAATGAATATAGAATATGGTTTCACTAATGCAGTGAAGTATTGTTAGAAAGGATTGTTCTTTAGAGAAATTGAGTTTTATATTATACTGGCAAGTCACCAAGCAATGCCAAGATATTTATTTACAGTTGCTCACAAAAATTTTGCTAACAAGCAACATATCCTACATTAAAGGTTTTCAACAAATTCCAACGAAAAAATGTGTTTGTACAGACATTTTTACACATAATTATTATGATTATGATTATGATTATGATCATGATTGATTGTTATTGTTATGATTGTTATTGTTATGATTGTTATTGTTATGATTGTTATTGTTATGCTTGTTATTGTTATGCTTGTTATTGTTATGCTTGTTATTGTTATGCTTGTTATTGTTATGCTTGTTATTGTTATGATTGTTATTGTTATGATTGTTATTGTTATGATTGTTATTGTTATGATTGTTATTGTTATTATTATTATTATGATTTTTGCTTGCGAATCGGCCGACTAGGACTACGCATCCATGCATCCTACTTTTACCGTGGCTCAGTATCATTATCGCGGTGGCAGGTTCATGTAACTTTAACTGGGATCCAGCATTTAGCCGAGTACCATTTTTATTCCACCGGGGTTGTTAGCCGTGAGGGTATGGATGATAAAATGATGATAATGAGGGGTGGAAGGACGACACACTCATACATATAGAAATACACCCATGCCCGCAGCGGAACTCAAACCCGCAATCTTCTGGTCCGAAACAACTACGGCACTACTTCCTTGGTGATCTCGGCCATCTGATCGGCTATTATGATTATTATTATGATGATTATTATGATGATGATGATTATTATTATTATTATTATTATTACTATTATTATTATTATTATTATTACTATTATTATTATTATTACTATTATTATTACAATTACATCCTTTGTATATTATTATATCTTCAAGAAAATTCAATGATTGTAAGGAAGTAAGTTTCTTTGTTTCTGTGTGTCAAAGGCCCACACATATATGGTGCTGGAATTATTACGAGGAGGTGAATTACTTGAACGCATTAGGCAAAAAGATAGATTTACAGAAAGTGAAGCAAGTCAGATAATGCGCAAGTTGGTATCAGCGGTGAATTTTATGCATTCCCGTGGCGTTGTTCATCGAGATTTGAAGCCAGAAGTGAGTATTCTTGAATCGGAATTTAAGTTACCTATCATAGTGGTTTCAATAAGTTTTAAACATTTTAAGTCATTTTTTATATTGAATATTATTGCATCAATGTGGATTTGGTAGAATTTTCTTCAAAAGCATTTAAATTCTTTAAAGAAATTTTCTTTTACGATAGCCATTTCTTAGTCTGCTGACCTTCATTTAGATGGACAATTTATCTCGACAAAGATTAGGTTAAATGTGGAAAACATTAATTGAACATCGTATTAATCATGTGTGTTTTTTTTATTACAGAACTTACTGTTTACTGATAGTTCAGATGATGCTGAAATAAAAATTGTAGATTTTGGCTTTGCTCGCTTAAAACAAGAAAAGGAGCCCATGCATACTCCTTGCTTCACTCTTCACTATGCTGCCCCTGAAGTTTTAAGGCAAGCATTCACACAATCTGCTGATGGCTATGATGAAAACTGTGATTTGTGGAGCCTGGGAGTCATTTTGGTGAGTCCAAGGAAATTTTGTTAATTCTGTGTACACATCATTAAATAAGTCAGGAGAATATTTTTTATAATTATATTTAAGTGCAGCTAACAATGTGATTTGACAGGATCTGGTTAAGAGTTTGTCATCCACCATTAGATTAGATTTACCACAAATACTTTAGTTGTCTTTCATAATTTTTAATGAAAGGCATTGTAGATGCTAGTTATGGGATTAATTGACGATTCAATAGAGGTTTTAGATTTAAAGGGAAATTATTTTAGAATTTTCATCCTCATCACATTTTTTAAATTTACAGTACACAATGTTATCGGGAAGAGCACCTTTTCACGCACGTTCCCGGGATGACAGTGCAGCAGCAGTTATGGCAAGGATAAAAGGTGGAGAATTTCATTTCAATGCAGATGCCTGGGCTCATGTATCTCCACAAGCAAAATATCTTACAAAAGGCAAGTTGTTTGTTCATGATGACTTTTGTGAAACAACTCGTGTATATTATACATGATTTTATGTTAAAATAGAAAACTGGAAGTGCCTTGCTTTTATAAATGGTCCTATTCGTTTTGCATTCAGTATGGGCAAAGGGAAAGTAGGTTTGTAAAACAATGTATGCATCGTAAAAAATTTGTGATATGGATTGGGGATTTTAATTAATACTACTTTCACTTTCCAGGATTGTTAACTGTTGACCCAAAGAAAAGGCTCCAAATGCATAATTTGCTATCCAATGAATGGCTACAAGGTGGCAATGCCAGGTTGTATCCATCCACACCCCTAATGACCCCTGATATTTTAGCAACAGGTTCTTCTACAAAATCTGTGCAACTCGGTGTGAAACAGACCTTCAATGCATTCCATCAGGCACACAGGGAAGGATTCAGATTGCAGGTTTGTTTGCAATATTTTAATTTCTTCAATTGTGAAAAAGTTTGCGATTTGGGATTTACAGGAAGGCAATTTACATTTCCTTTAGCAAATAAGAAAATTTTACTTTCATTAAAAAGCAAGCATTATTGCCTGTAAGATAATGCTGAAATAATCTGTAATATTCACCATAAGAATTTGCAAATTTCATTTTGAATAATTTACTTATTGTTGTATACATTCCCTGAAAAGGAAACTCATGTCTGTAAAATGTAAATTCTTTTAATCATATTAAATGCTTAGAAAAAGTTTAAATTATTGTCAATGTTTCATCAACCTCCTCATTGAGAGCTGATCAAATTTATGAATTAATACGTTGAAACATCTCTGAAAGACTACCCCCAAATGACCAATTTGTATTTCAATAGACACCAAATGTTGGTAAAGTATACCCCTGTTAAGAGGGTACTCTTTCTCTGTCCATCATTAGGTCTCTTATTAATAACAATTGCAATTTTTCTCAATGTATCCCTTCTAAGTAATCACCTTCATGAAAATTGTAAGAATGCAGTGGTCTGAAATTTCAATAGTTAAAATGAAAATTATATATAATTTCCACCATTTCAGTCACCTTATTGGAAGCTATTGCAGTTGAAGAATATATTTCGCAGTCATAAAGAAATCCAAATAGTGTCCATGTTACTGAGTAACAATGTATTTTAAATTAAATTTGTTCAAAGAATTGGTTGCTCCGAACAAGACAGTTGCAGCAGCTGGGCGTAAACCAGAACGTCCGGGTTTGAATCCCAGTCGAGGCAACCAGTTCTTTGAACAAATTTAATTATTCAAATGAAAATTGCCATTGTAAATGGCATCTGTGAGACGTGCCCTGTGCCTGAGCTGCAAGGAAATCTAGAAGCGAGGGGAATTCTGGTAATCGTGTAAAAATATTCTGTGACCACTGATAAGACTCCATGGTTGCTTGTCATTTCAGTTTTATTTCTTCTATGTGTTTGTGGATTTGAAAGTGACTTTAACATTTAAACTCATTGAATTATCAGTCTTTCTTTCCTTACCTTCGTGGAAGAACATATTTCATACAGTAGAATACCAATGTAGGAAGTTAGGATTCTAAAGTTGCCACTTTAACATGCAAGTGTTTGGTATGCATCCGAAATCGATGCTCCATATTCATCCAAGATCAAATGCTCATTGCTTTTTTTCTTATTAGGTGAGAAAAGTGAGTTTTAAAGATCATGAAATGTTGTTGACCAAACAAAATGGAGCTTCATTACCAGTAGATAACTACTAAGAATACTAAAACTGAAAATAATTAACCCATTCATGTTGAATCAAGAGAACGAAGAAATATAAAAATATTCTCTAAAAGCATTTGAAAAGATAATAAATGTGTCTGTTTAATCTTTCATAATTTGTGTATGTATACTAAAAGACTTTAAATACATTTATTTTAGCTTATGTTATTTAAACTTGGGTATAACCTGGTGGCAGTTATGTTCAGTACATATAGGCAATTTCTTAAACTTTGTCTAGCAATAATGGACTGTGTTTTGGAGAGAGAGAGAAAAAATTCCCCACATTAAGCAAAAGACCTTGCCAAAGAACAGTCATATAATATAGGTTTCACAGTAAACGGATGATTGAAATTACAAAGAAATTGGATGAAACAATTTTTTTTCAAATCGTTTACTTTTAAAGATAAGTTTACAAAATAAATTCACATATTCAGTTACCGGTCATTTTTTACTATGTCATAACTATAGTGTTTCTATTTCTAAATAAATTTGGCATTTGTTGACTTAGTAAGGTAATAAGAATTATTTTTCCTTTGAATTTCTTACTTTTTTATACTCGTTAAAAATAAATTTTTAATTTCAATGCTTAGAAGCTGCATATCAAATTTGTTACTGTGCCTTACACATTTCTATGGCTGTGTAAATTATTATTATGAAGAAATGTTTTCAGATATTTTTTAGGAATTGTTTTTTTGAAGGTAAAAATGTTTATTAATTGTTAGCCCTGATGAGGTGAATGAAGTAAACAATACATTAGCAATAAATACCAATATACAAATTTAGTAGATTTTTGGTTCTTGTCATTGTTTGAATTTCCAAGGTAATTTTCCAATAAATTTATGGAAACTGATTTCTTTTGTCAAAATAGTTTCATGAAATTCATTTTCAACTGTCTTATGTGTCAGCTAATTTAAATTTGAATTTTCTGCTAACAAAGTTTTGTTAGTATTTAGTTTAGCTCAGTTTTGCAGTATAGAATTACCATAACTCAGTTTTGCAGTATAGAACCAATCCTTAAATGTCGTAAGCATAAAATAGCCATATCAACACGGATGAATTTGGAGCATAACCATAGAATTGTTATGTTTCATGCTTTTTGAATGCCAGTTGGAATTTAAAATTATCTTTCGTCATACACCCTCTACAATACATTACAATACATTGCAGATTTCTGCCGCCGAACTGAGTGAAGAAAATGCCCAAAAATGTGCTAGGACATGTGCATGAAAGTTATCAAAGACTGAAAATGGTAAATAAAGGCTCAAAAATGAATTACAAAAGATCTGCGAAATTCTGATAATTGACTAAAATTTTGAATCTACGTAAGAGAAAGGCTCACATAATAGGTTTACATGCAAGTGGTATTGATCTAGCATGAGGTAAAGCGCTAAATAAAAAAGATAGCCATTGGTAGAATAATATGTGGCTTCATAATGCGCTCTTGACACATGAGGCATGATTCTCAGATAATAGTGACCCATTTTGTTCAAATGTTCTGGGCCTCGAATGGCTTTAATCCAAACCCATCAAACTCTGTACCATTATTGAGTGCTAGTAACCCTCACATAATATCCTTTAATGTGGTTGTTATATACATATTACAGAAAATGGATGGGGAATTAACGTGGGATGTTATTTCTCAATTCAAGCCGAATAGAGGCAGTAATGAGCAAGAGGTTATATCAAAAGAAGTTTTTCACAAAAAGTCCTTTAATGAAAATGTAACAACTGTTTTGAATTTTACTAAAATTTGACAAAACAGCTACAAAAATAAAACTTAAATATTGTCCTAATTTTGCTGCCGCACCCTTTAATTTTATGCAAGTAGAAATCAATTAGTAAGATAATGAAATATTTCCCACATAATGTTTATGCTTTTTTTTTCTTCTGGTTTTAGGAAGTAGGCAATGCTAAATTAGCTCAAAGGCGGAGAATGAAGAAATCTTCCACTGATGCTCGTAGTTGTTCTTCATCAAGCAACTTTTCAACTTCTAGTTCTTCAGGTAAGAGATTTATGTATAAAATTCTGTGTGTAACTATTAGGATACCCCAATGTTATTTTTTTTACAAACGAGTGAAAACGATTTCTACTAAACTACTTTTTATACATCTTTCTGACTTTGACATTTCCCAGTTGAAAATAACACTGCTTATTATGAAACAATCTCTGCGTAAAAAGTAGTAAATCTTACTTATTCCTTTTTTTTAAGTCCTATACTAAAACTATACTAAAACTAATTTATTTGTTTTAAAAACATAAATAAACTAAAGTTATTATCAAAAAACGTTTCTTGTACTGTAATCTACAGATCTTTTTGAACATTTCATTACGTTTTTGCTGGGAGGGGAGGAGTGGGAGGGTGATGGAGAGAGAAAGGGAAATGAGGAGCAGAACATCTGCTGGGTTCTGCTAGTTGTTAAAATAAATAGAAATATTTTTTCAACTTTTTTTCCCCTAACTTTTTTTCTCAAACTTTTTTTTTTATCTCAAAGATTACAAAGAAAATATTCAAAACTGATATTAAGTATATTCTAGAATCCGTTTAAATTGGACACTGTAGACTCTCACTCTTGCAACATCCACAACTGTATGTGCAGAACTTGCGATCAACCTTTTCTCACCCAAGATTCTTCCTTCACCCACAACTAGCACCAATCTTTTTGTTAGGTGCAGCCAGCATTATCTACTAATATCTACTTTAATTATCATTAATTACTTTAATTTAAGTTAAATAAATTAGTTTTTGCTGTGCTAGAATTTATTTTCACTTCTTTCATTTAAAACGAGGGGGGGGGGGTCTCCAAGCATTATGTAATTATTTAGGGAGGGGGGTCAAGAACACATTATGGGTGCATTACAAGGAGCAACTTGAAAATACTCCAAATTGCATTATATAATATATGAAAGGCCCATTAATAAATTATCTTGCCGCACTTGTTTATACCCTGCAGCACCATAGTCACATTTGTGTCGAAATCAGGGAAACTAATGTTAAATGATTGTTGGCAAAACCTGCCAGTTTGGTGTATTGTTATCTATCTTATGATTTTCATGAAATATTAAAAACAAATGTGTTTCAAGAACTTTTCATATATTTTGTCACTGCCAAATAATCAAGAAAATCCTAAAAAGATAATATAGAAAGAGTGACTTAAAAACTCTTGATCATTCTGATAATGATTATGAACATAATGACCTTTCTAATATTTTAATAACAAAAACAGATTTCTTGATGTTTAATTTAACAACCTTAAGTAATTTCAAGAGTAACTATCTCCTTAGTGTACTACAAAAAATTTATTCACTACAATATATATTTAAATTTGAAAGATGTTAATTTGATTTAAAAAATGTATCTTGCTAATAACTCATTTTTAAGTAATTTCAAAACTCGTGTATTTTTTGGCACAGTTATTTATTTGTCAAAAGTTGCTGAAAAGAATTTTATTAGTCATCTTAATTTTTATTTTTTATTATTTTCACATGGTTGGGGGGGGGGGGATTTCACCTAGAAACTAAAAAGAACTGAAAGTCCTTGAATGGTGTAAATTATTGCAAGTGCTGGTGTATCACATTCTCTGAATAATTTAGACATTAGACAAATTATTGGCAATATTGCAGTGTCATAATTGTCAATTTTGATCGTCCTTCAAGATTTTTCATATAATTACGTTTTTCTGGCTTTTGAAAAATTGTTAATGGACAAAGAAGTGACATTAATTAGTTTTTATTTTGTGATAATGTAACAAATATTCACAGAGTTATGCTTTGTTTTAATGAAATCTTAGACTACTGACCAAATTTCATGTTTCATAATTAAGCATTTTTATATAATATTATTAAAAAATGTGTATATTTTGAGTGAAAAGTTTGTCTTCAACTTTATTGCTCCCAACTCAATCTCAATGATGCAAAAAAACAATACTTTATTGCACTTAATACAAAAATTACTGTTATTCAGGTTTTAAAGCAATAGCATCAATTAATTTCTATTAAAGATGAAATCAATGTCAAACTTTCTAATTTTAAGAATTATATAAAGGAATGGACTTATTCATTGGTGCTATCTTCTGCAGGTACTTCATTGACTCCTACGCCTATTAAAACCAGTCTTGCCACACACTCTGGCAATACGACTTCGAAAAGATCTGGAGGCAATAATGATGACAGCAAAGTGTTCAATTTTGGGGAGGCTCGTGTTCGAGAATATCTTTCAAGCTTGTCATCTGATGAATCATCTAGTTGTTGCTCAAGTTCATCTTGTGGACACTCTCTGCTAACAAAATATTCAGATGAGAAAGTTAATGTTCCTTCTGTTAATCAGAAAGAAATGAAAGAAGAGAACAATCGAGCAATGACGTCTGTGTCCTCAATGTATTCAGGTGTTAATAAAGCAGAAGAGATTTCATTATCTACTGAAAAAATTTCTGATATGGGTGTAGGATCTAGTTCATGTGGAAGAACAGTGCCAACCAATAGAGCATCAGGTTTATTATCTAGCAGCCAAGAGCAGCCAGTGTCTTCCTCATGTCATCATCCTGTCCCTGAAGCAGGAAAGAGATTAGAGTACTATGCTGATATATCTCAAAAGGGACAATCGTCACATTCTAGAGATGCTTCATCCAGTGGACCTTTAACTCGTTCCCGCAAGAGGAAGTTGGACAATGGTGGGAATGTTGTTTCAAGCAAAGATTCTTGTACTAGTGAAACTTCTAATAAGAGAAGTGCTGATAAAACTCAAATCTCGTGTGCACCTTCCTCTAAAAGGCATCATCACCAACACCATCGTCAACATTGTACTGAAGGGAAGAAAACAAAAAGAATACCTACAATAACAGTGGAATAAGTTCCTTTAGCATGTTTTGTTTTTTCCAGAATTGAAATTTTATTGTGTTAAAATTTGGGAACCTGTTATGTTTAAAATCCATGACATAATAACATTATTTTGTTGTCTGCTCAGTCTGCCTCGAGTCATAAATGAGGCAAGTTATATTTTCAGAAATATATTTGTCTGTGTAGAGATAATACATTATGTAAATATGAGTATGTATATACAAAAGTTTTGTATGATCATATACATGCAATGTGCAAGTATTAGAATTGAATAAACTAAGGAAACTTTCCCAAAAATTTTTACTGCAGGGAACTATATTCTCACAACATTCGGCTGAAAATTCCTATGTACAAATATATGGAGTGTGATGTAAAAAAAGAAAATGAAAGGAGGAGGCCATGAACTTGCAATTTTACAGGATTTTCAAAATATGTTTTTCTTAATATCATATCAAAAGTGTTAAGAAATTAGCAGAAAACTGTTGAGAATTATTTCTCTTACAATAAGAAAAAGTAAAAATTAAGGGACATAATCAGGAGATGTAAAGCACTTCTCTCTCTGGTATATTTACAATTATAACAGTTTGAAATGGCCTCCTACCTTCATATATGAATATTTTAAATTAATTATGCGTACTTTCTATTGAGTTAAAAAGTGTTAAATTTGTTTTTACTTCCATACATCACCTCTATGTACATTGAATATTTTCTCTCCATTCATAATATGAGCATCTCTGCTGTGTTGTGCTATCTCAATATTTGCAATAATTTGTAAGTACTTTTTAGGAACAATTATGATTATGTATTATAGACTGTATAGAAAAGGTGGTCTCTAGGTCAACAAAAGTAATGCACATGTATATCTAGTACATAACCAGAAACTCCAAAATGAATCCTTATTATGAAATAATTGTTCCTGTAAGTTGTAAGAAATTAGGGTCTACAGCACCAGTATATCTCACTTTTGTGCTGTAATTTTCACAGTAAATCAATGTCGAGCCCTCCTGTTACTGTAAAATAACAGCATTAAATGAGGTTTAAACAGTTATCTATATATAAGTACGTGTAAACAAATGAATTGCATATTTTTAAATGATACCCATGTTAAAGTTTAAAAGTTATTCTAATGATGTATTTTGTATATTTAAAACTAAATTTTTACAAAATGTTGTATATTTATTAGTTCCATGTGCAAATATTGACTGTATTATTTACCGTTTTGTTTTAAAATATTTTATTTGTCTGTTATGAAATGAAGAGATTAGTAGTGTTACTTGTTAAATTATATGGACACTTATTTACTCAAGCATATAATTGAAAATGTATTACAGGATTAAATGACAAGTCTAACCAAATCTCCTATTATTTCCACATTAACTGCATTTCTTAATCTGCATACTACTGTGTAGAAGTTTGTGTATGGTAATTTCCAAGTATTTTTTTAAGTGATGAGTTAGTTTGGACAACTTTCATATTTGATAAGTCAAATAAATATTATCTATTTTTGAGGAGATGTGAGTTTGCAGATAATCTCATTTAGTATTTCTAGTTAATAAAAACAACATATTTTAAACGGTTACACTTCAAATACACTCAAATTTAATTTCTTACTTCATTACACTGTTTCATAGTTTTCACATAAAAAATATGGAGTGAGAGCTTGCCATTGGGCGTGTGCCCAAGACCCCCTAGTTTTCTAAATTCTATGGTCATTTCTGCTTTGTACATTTGTCATTTCTATATTGTACTTCTTAATTCCACTAGATAACGGGAGTACTTCATTCATGTACTGATTATATAATAGTTCTCAAATATTTCTTCAGTTTTTAATCTAGATTTTGACCATTGGGAAGTGTTCCTTGATATTGAAATTGAATGCAAACATGAATGTGGTTTATATAGGAAGTGACATGACTTTGTACATTTTAATCAATAAGACTGTTGAGTAAATAAATGTCATTGGTGCGTGTCTATGTATGCATGAAAGTTAATGGTCATAGGTTAGCAGAAGGTTTTGTTAACTACCCTGCTTCATGGATATATCTGAATATAAGGTTTCGTGAAAAAATGTATATTATATACTGAAAACATTTTTTCTCAGGTATTGAGTAGCATTATCATTGTTACATTAATTTCTGTTCATTCATGCTAGAGAAGACTAATTCTTTTAGTTATGTCATACAATGAAGTACTCTGTCATTTGAAACGGTTTCATAATTTAGTAACTTTTATGCAATTGATGGTATGGAAGTATTATTTGTGAGAAATTTATTGTAGAACCTTAAAAATATTGTTGCTTCTGTGTAGTTCTTATTTTTCTGTGCGTCACATATTAATTTAAGTAATTTAATTAGTAGCCAGAAAAATACCTTTCAGGCACTTACTTGCACTTGAACTGTTACAATCATTGTTTCATTACAACCAATAGAATTAAGTGCTTAAATAAAAGAAGAAAAGTTAATTATCCCTCCATGCATGTGCAATAGCAAATGGTTCTCAGTGCGTCTCTTCTCCTTTTCTTCCGACTGTTAGAGTAAACTATGTACTACACATTCAGTACAGACCCTGTCAAATTGCATTAATTATTCTTGCAATTGTGTAAAAAGGTTATCTACATTTTATGACTTCTAACAGGTGAGAAGAAAAGTTTGTGATGTGAAAAGTGTCCTACAAACAAGTTGTTCTTGAATTAATAGATTGTAAAGAAATAAGATGGAAGCAATTAATGTATTTTTCATTTTGTTAAATTCGTTCCTTGAGAATGTCTTTCAAAGCAAGTAGTATCTTCATAAAAATAGAATGTCAATTAACTTCCTGGAGTTGCCTTCACATCTTTCATAGACTTGAGAAGAGTAGGTATTGTTTATACAAAGTGACAAGTAAAAACTTGTTCAAATCTAGAAAATGTTTATTTTTGAGTAATGATATGAAATAACTAGTGTGGCATTTTTGGGGTGAAAGAGCATACTAGAGTTTTAAAGTTTAAGAATGCAGTGCTAGTAATTGACAAAAATGTTGTAGTGCTGTGATATATGCATATTCATCTAATTATCTAGTGCACAGGGATTCATCAAATTATTTCAGAACTGTGTATCTGATTTGCCTTGAATGATTACATATGCTACAAAGACTGTGATTTTTTTCTTAACTCAAGTTAATAAATATTTAGCTTGGGCAATGTTCCATATTAGAAAATATTTTATAATATCTCTCAATGTCGTATCTTATTTGGAAATAAGGAATATGCAAAATATTATTAAAGAATTCATAGACTTATTTATAGCAATATGTGACACTTAAGAGAATGAAAGTTGAAATATTATACTAGCAGTTTTTGGATAATTACACTTAGATACCAAGAATCTTGATGGTAACCAGTGACTTCAAGTTGTGAAAATTTTATTTGCACTTCTTGGTTTTGAAATGTTTATGGAAATGAATAAAAATGAGTACTTCCTTTTCTTTTAAATGTGTTGTTTTTCATAGTATAAAAAATTTAACATTATTAAATACCACTCAGTTTTACTAAGACTATTCCACAAACGAAATGTCCAACAATTTCAGAATGTGCCAAATATTAAATAAATCGATGGAACTTGCACTTTTAGTGTAAACTGCCTTTGATCACTGATGTGATAGGCTTTCAGAAAAAAATGATCACAAAAAATGTATGGAGTGATAAAATTCTAAACTCCTTGGAAAATAACATAGGAAAAACAATTTCTTTGAGTAAAAAGATATCCTGAAAGGGGGTAGCAGATATGTTAAATGCACTTTATATTAACTGGCTAAATCTATGTGAAAATTTCACACACTAACTTTTTTGCTTATTTTGACGGCCAGTGACTTGTTACTTCACCTGAGAAACAATTAATTGACCCATAAATGATTTTGTGAATTGTCCCATCTCTTCTAGAATTTGCTTGAGCTGGCATGTTAAGTAGAGAAAGCAGATTTATGCTGTCAGCTTGCCAATCATTGTCACCAAGTGGTTCAACAGTTTAAATGCATTAATGTACCTGTCAAAAATGTTTTTAAATGTAGAAAATCAAAAAGTTACCCATTGTGAAAAGTATTTTATTGTATTGTATAAGAGCTTCACATAAAGTACAGTACCTCTCAAAATGAGAAGATTCCTCTAAAATTTGAGGAGCTGCCAAGAAGTCATGTGATTTCCCTTGGCAGATCCAGGAGGCAGGGGGGACATGCTCCCCCAAGTCAAAAATGCTGTTATTTTGCCCAATTTATTAAAAATAATTACCACATTTAAATATCACATCCAAAACAATATTCCCATTATGAATATACTGTACATTTTCGTTAAATTTCAAGTTAACAATAAACAATTTAAAAATTTTAATAGGGTGTCCGAACTGAAATTTTCCCCACCCCCGCCCGTAAATTACTTTCTGAATCCGTCTTGTGACTGCACTGCTGCCGACCCTCTAGCTCATTACTATATACTAAGGTGGTACCCATACCCGTATTCTTATTCTCTCATATCCGAATTTTCCCGAGTATCCATACCCTCTGTCATTAAAGCCCAGCTTCTAGCACGCACGTTGCTTCTCCACCAGTCTCCTAAGACCCTACCAAGAGAGATAAATGGACCGGCGTACAGCAGTTTGAACCCTACCTTGCCCCCCAAGCACATGTGCATCCTGTCTTGGCCCGCCCAGCCTCACGGGGGTGTTACTTAATAGGCGGTAAAACGTCCTTATTTGAAAGTTGTGGTGCGAGGGACAAGAGAGTGCGAAGACAGTAACAATTGAAATGGAGGACGGAAAGTGACACGGGCTATTTGAAATTACATTATTTAGTATTTTCAATATGGCGGAACATGGTTATGTACTTAATGAAATGTATTTGACATAAAAATGAATGCCCAAGGTAATGTAGAAGTCAGTAATTCTTAAAGCCACATGTAAATGTGAGGAAGTGAAGTAAATGAATGATAGGGAAGTAATTAAAAAAGAAATAATTACTAAAATAAATATTATTGTAAATATGGTACATAACAAAAAAAAATAACAATGTGCTTGAAAAAATCTGTTATGTGAAACAAGGAAACAATCATGGTCAATCATAATTTGTTAATATCTCATTATACTAATATCACTGCTCTAAACAAAAACAAAAAATATATAATAAATTTGTCACAAATACAACATACGCCTCATGCCATGGACAGTCAGTATAAAATTTAATATATACGTAAAAACAATACAC